ACGTAATGTGTTATCAACTGATATTGCTAACAATGGCAATTAACCGGGCTAGAATTGGTCTTCATGATTAGTTGGATTATTTGTCGGATTTACGGTAGTTCATGCTAATTGTAAGCGAACGAAGATAAACACCATTAAAACTGAGGTACCTTAAATTCGACAAGTTGTCCGACTAAGCAAAAAATCTTGCTTTTTGATATGGGTCCATGGTATTGCACTTCTGTGGCAGATGGAATGCATCCGACTCATGTTCAAGATGTTCAATAAACATGTTAAGTGCATATATATTCCCTTTTTTCTTGAGTCTGTTTGCTCATGCAAAATTAAATGTGATTAATATAGATTAAAAATGAATGATATTTACTCATGATTAATCAAAATTAATCCACAGGAACCCTGTGATTAATCTGATTAAAAATTTTAATCATTTGACAGCACTAATATAAATATTTTTATTTCTTGGATATATTTAAAACAGCCATTTTTGTTAATAAAAGTGAAAATACAGATTTGTTGAGAGTGGAGTCTTGGGGGCTAAAGGTTCAGAAGATGTTCGTTTCTTGAACCTGTGATACATTCTTACCATTGGGACCATGTGACCTCAAGGTATTCACCCTAATGACCCCACAAACCGCTTTAAGTTGAAACGCATCTCTGCTTTGAGGAACTGTTTGTGTTTTCATATTTTTCACAATTAATCTTATCCAATTTAATAACTTTTCTGCTGTGGGTTTGGCCTCTATTGAGCTATGCACCAACTGGAGGACCAATATGACATCAATGGTAGCAACCAGCATCACCACAGTACCTTCTACTGCAGCAATGTTACTCTGCAGTAGAAAGCAGCTGAGATGCCATAGCTGATTAATCCCTCCCACATTACTCCAGTATTATTATTACTGGGTCACCTGGTAGCGGAATGGTGCCAGTTTTCCACAAACAGCGAATGACAGCAGCTGAGATATACAGGAAGGCTACTGCAGTTGGTGGGTAATCCACTGTGCCCAGCAGTCAGAGTGCCTCCTCAAACGACAGGATGCCGCCGACCCGGCTGTACGCGCTTACCTGCAGGAGCGCAATGAAGAGGAAGAAGGAGTTGGCTGCCCTCCGGAACTGGGAGTAGAGGAAGCGTGGCAAAAATGTGAGCACGTTGTATTTTGCCGTGCTAGAAATGAAGGGGACAATCTGTTAGACCCATACATACGACAGGAGTCCATGTCTAAGAGCCCAGAACATACAGTACTGAGCAAAAGTCTTCGGCAGACAAAAGAAATGCTTAAAGCTGTTTATCTGGAGAGTAAGTAGACAGTTGCTCAGAACAAAAAAAACAAATTAGAACACAGGCAAGGAAAGAGTAACACAATAAAAACTAGTAAAAATTTCTTCTGTTCTCCAAAAAGTGACTGATATCTATGTAGTTGGATGGCTGGAGGAACACGGCTTCAGCTCCCACACCTCTCCTCAGGGGCACCTCTGCCGTTCCATGCATTTATTCAATTTCACCACCAGCTTACTTAATTAATCAATCTAATTAGTTAAAAAAATCAATGAGATATTTATCAGCTATGTGATACGTGATAGTGCTCTAGTCAAAAAATACATGGGTGTACTGCATGGTTGCTGGAAATAAGGGTTTGATTGCAGCAGAGATTTGGGGATGGCTAAGCTAACACACTTTGACAGGCATAATAGCATAGTTTAACATAAAGATCATTTACACATCATTTGCTTTGGCTGTTTAAGACTTTTGCACAGTACTGTAAACCTGCTGCTTACAATGGCAGGGGGTAAGCCGTCGTGTACCCACACTTCCTCTGGAAAAATATGCAGCCTATTTAACATGACATTAACATTACAGCATAATGCATTGCGAACTGAAAAAGCAGAAACTGAAAGTGCAAAAAAACTTTCTCAAATATAAACAGCATTCTGTGTATAATGAATTATTTATTGCTTAAATGTTGCGATCCATAAAATACATATTTCACCATAAAGGGCACATTGACGTTGTTATAGCCTACCTGCAGAAAGGTTTAAATCACTATTTAAATAACTTTATCAGAGTGAATTGTACTTGGAATATTTTTTGTAGTGTAGTCACGGTATTTAGATAGAAAAAAAGGCTTATCAATGTTGGAATCAAAGAAGAGAAAGCAAGCAGACGTCAGCAGCATCTGTGTCTGTGTCAGTTTCCCTCCGAGACACCAAGTCCTGCTTATTCAGCCTGTAATGAGATCATTTCTCACTATCGCCCACTATCTGATCTCCACACTGCTGCTTCACTGATCAAGGGGTGGGGCTAATGATATGCAGCAGTTTGATTGGCCACGGTTCTGGCTCACATGTGCAAAATCAAGTAACAAAGGCCCCAGATTGTTAAACACATTATTACTAAATAATGAAGCATTGGACCCATCACTTCAGATCAGACAGCTCCAGTCACATATCGGGTTGGGCCAATGGCTTTGATTGGCTAAGAAATAGAGGCCACAGGGTAAAAGGTGAATCCATAGCTACGTGGTCACCCCCAGAACTAAGGCTCAGTCCAATAAGATCAGAACCAAGAATCAAGAAAGATCCAAGAAAACTGTCAGTTTCACGATCCCATTCAGTCTATTTATGGGGGTGGGAGATAACAAAAATATGTGGATGAACAAAAAGGATTACAGTCACAAATGATAAGAATGCAGAGCTGAGAGGCAGAGAGCAGTGTACTGTAGAAGTGGGAGGGGAGCGGCTGTCATCCGTGGCCTTCGATTTATAATGGCCTGGCTTATAAAGACATAACACGTACATCTCTCTCCACTAACGCTGAACACCTGCCCAATCCGCTCCGGCCAGAGTGATCCCAGGGCGATCACGTGGAACAAAGGGCGAGATAAGGGAGGCTGGCTCACGGCACACATTCACAGCGGGACGGGCAAAGGAGCACATGCGTGTGCACACACATACGTCACCAAGGGGGGGCAACAACCAAACACTATGTGCACGCCCCTCCATTTCATCTGAAGACACAGAGAGACACACACACACACACACACACACTTACAGTCGTGTAATCATATCTTTTTTGGGGCCGCTCATTCATTTCTATAGGAAAAATGCTAATGCTAACTATGACAACCTTAATCCCTACCCATCCCTAACTATAACCATAAGTAACCAAACAAAATACAGGAAACTAGTCCCCATAAGGTAAAAAAACAGGTATTCATCATATTGTGGGGACATTTGGTCCCACAAGGTAAGGTATACCTGGACCACGAGCACACGCACACGCACACGCACACGCACACGCACACGCACGCACCTGTACTCAGATCTTTGTGGGGACCATCCATTCATTTCTATGGACAAAACTGTAATCCCAGCAATGACAACCTTAATCTGTATCCAGTCTTAACCTTAATCATAAGTAACCAAATAAAATACTTAAGACTTCTGCCATTTTTAGAGGGGGGCCAAAATAATGTCCCCACAAGGGCAAAATAACAGGTTATCATCGCATTGTGGGGACATGTGGTCCCCAAAATGTAATGTAAACATGACCCCACACACACCCACCATTTCCCAAAATTTCAGGTCCAGTAAGTAAAAATCCAGTCCAAGATTTTGTTTCAACCAACCATTTGAGCATAAAGAGTCACAGACACAGAGTACTCAGTTGCTTGGTTGAAGCGAAATCTTGGGACTGGATTTTTACTTTCTGGGCCTGAAATTTCCACCTCTGACACACAGACGCAGACACCCACACAGACAGACACACACGGATTGGTCATTAAGACTCAGCGGCGGAGCACTCAAGCATGCGGCGATCCCTCCCCCACGTCCCCTGCTGGGACGGCACACCCCGGGGTATCCCTGGCTGGCTGAAAGGCACACACAGTGAATGACTCACTGCTCCTCCAGAAGGCAGGCAAACTGTGCATTGATGTACAGTCGGGCACCAATGTTAATGGATGTTGATCATCATCAGTGTCACGTGAGGGTGGGGGGTGTTTACATCAGCTTTATGCAGGGTCCCACATTTCCCAGTCAGCCCACTTATACCTGCTGACCTACTGGCCCACATTCGTCATTCGAACCCTTAATGTGGTCACCACTGCACAAGCCCTCGGCGTCTATGCCGTGACGCACTTAATGAAAGCTAGGGGGCACCGTTATCACTTCCCATCTTTAATTAGAATGATAGGAGGGTCCTCCATTATTCAGATGTACTTTACGTGATGGCACGACCACAGAGACATCAGCAGCGTGCTGGAAACGAGACGTGGCAGCACGGGGGGGCCACAGGTAAGCGTTCAGTGTGATGTGAGAGGGAGAGGCACAGGGGGCGAGGAGGGACTGGGCCTGATAGGCGGGCCGGAGCATCCTGCATTATCCTGAGCCCTGCCGTCTTTACCTTGGATTGCCAAAGATCTCAGCATCAGCAGAATAATTTCACCATTGGGCCCTGGAGAAAGGCCCTTAGGCTCCAATTGCTGCAGGGACTGGCTGACCCTATTTTCTCAAAACATATAAATGTCACACTCACAAGCCAGATAAAAGATCTAATTCATCTGGACCTGTTTACTGTTTGCACCTGAACTGGTACCACAGCAATGTATGTACACATGTTTATCAAATTCATAATTGATACTGCTTCTTAGAAGCTCAGTACTATATTGGTGATTCTCTGAAGGATGCCACAATTAGTAGAAATGGTGAATAGATGAATCTTAGCCTCGATTCATAACCTCATGCCTGGAACCCATATGTGGCCCCCATTTCATGGCTTCCAAATTATCGTTTTGCCAGAGCCAGGTTAACTGTAAAATGTTTCCCAAACATAACTATTATAAACTTACATTTTAAGACTTACCAGCTCCACAAAAAGTTACGTACTGAGGGTATGAAGTTTCACTGCTAACTCCGATTAAGCACACTGTAGTAAAGTGTACGGACATAGATATACAAACTTATGGTGAGCAAAGTATTCTTCAGGAGGACCACAGTGTCCTTTTTATCACTGCATGTTCTCACTGCTAAGACACAATGTGCTGTGAGAGGGTGTGTAGCTCAGCAGGTTAAGAACCCATGTTTGTGTCCAGAAGGTTGTATCCTGTGAAGGGTCGTAATCCCATCACTGTTGGTTCCTGGGGCAAAGCCCTTAACCCCAACTGCTGCAGGGTTCCTGCCGGCACCCTACACTCTAGCTACAAGGTAACGTGCTGGATTCTTGCACTGACCCGTACGTCTATGCTGTTCTCTTAACCAGTCTTACACAGCAAATAAACGTCATTGGACTTGGCCCCTTTCAATTAAATGATCATGATCTAGCTTGTAAACATGGCACTCACAGAAAGTCTTGGGACGCTTGCATAATCCTGTAAAAATGTTGCAAATTTATTGGTTCCAAAATGAAAGTCCACTGGAAAGTAACATTTAACACATCTACATATATTTTCTACACTCGACTTTTCCTTTTTTTTACGGTCATATTTTTTTGACTAAATCAGTTTTGTTCTTGCCATACACTCACAAATAAAATTGTACACAAATAAAGTAATATTTTTATATTTATAACTTAAAAAGTTATAAAATCAATATTTGCAATATTTTTACTGAATTAAGCAAGCTTCCTAAAATTTGTCTGTGAGCACTGTACATCTGTAATAATTCATTTGCTGATAATAATACATTGATTCATAATGGTGTCATGCCAAGGGTGTGTATTGACGCATATCAATGTTTGCCAATGCATGGTTGCAAATCTTAGCAGAAAACAAATAGAGTCCTTTGTTGTGCCATGTCAAATTGAACTGCTTTATCATTGTATCAGCATGCTGCACAGAGATCCTTACAAGGCTATAATTTAAACCCCTAGGTGTAAACACGTCTTGCTCTAGAAGCCAAAACAAATCTTCACTGCGCATATTTTAGGTGGAGCAAATCGCTTTTATATGCAGGCAACTGACAGCCTCCCTGTTACTGTGAAGGATTAAGTCAAAGCTGAGCTTTGAATGTCACCCAGCGAGCTGACAGCAGGAATCTGGGGACCTGTGTGCATACATCATTCTATATTGATCACCTGACCTCAGAAAACTATAGCCAGCCAATAGCGAGGGAGCAAAGCAGTCATGTGACAACAGGGATGCAATACATTGTGACTAAGTAAAGGCTTATATTGTATAGGTAAATTTTCTACGGAAAACATATCCCCACTAATCAAATCAGACATGGTGCAATGGCTGCAAAATTATAAAAGTGCTAGCATGATGACAGCATGTGGCATGTGACCTCAGTGACAAAAAAATCTGGTAGGTGACAACCTCACTGTCCCAGATGTTTTTTAGGCTGCCCAAGAGGACAGATCGTACCAGAACAGGCTTTCCACTTCCTGTCAGGCCGTCGCTCAGGGTGCGACTCGAATGATAGCAGCACAGATGGGCCCCATCTTTCTGTGTTAGCACTTAAATGATTGTAGTGTAATTACAGCCACTCGACAGCACTGGGGTAACAACCTGCGTCTCTCAGGTTCAAGGAAAAAACTAAATAAAATGCTACATTTTGACCGGCTTACAAAACCCATTTTACTTGTAAATGTGAATAGAAAAAGAAAATAGCTTTCAAAAAAGAATTGCATTTGAAAGTACATGAACAGTACATGCTAATCTCCTAGAAGGGGTTTTGCTTTTGACACATAGCATTCAGTTCAGTTTCATGAACTGCTTGCATTGTCCATACTCTAAATACGCCTGATATGAGCCCAAAACCTTGTCTGGGTTTGCCTGGAAGTGCTATTTACACCGCAAAGCAATAAACAGCGTCCACTAAAACAGAGCTCAAATGACATGGACCCACAGACTAGATTCGGGCGCACGACACAATTACCATCAACGTTTTAAACCGGTTTAACTGACTCTATACAAAACCTTCATTACCAAAGGCCTAAATCAACCGAGAGTAATGATGGGAAGGTAATATAGCGTGTCAAATAATGGTGAAGGATCTGGCACTGGAACGGAGGCAAACAAGATAGATAATAACTGCCCTGCTCCTCGAAACATAATGCACAAGGTTCGAGTTTCATGGTTTATTTTCGGTGAGTAGACTGCAAATCCTCATTTTACGAGCGTCAGTCGATCTAAGTGATGAGTGCTAAAGTGTTTGTTGTGAGAAAAACAAATAGTACTGCACAGAGAAGCAAGTAAAAGCACGATCGGGCCAGAACAGGTAGGAAGATGCCTGGATCTACTGTAGTGCCGCCATCTTGAGCTATCAAGCTATCTCTGCTGTTCCAGCAAATCACCTAGGGGCCATTGCAGAATGCATTCATCAATTCCAATCCAAATCAGAAAATGGGACTGCCCCAACCCTGGTAGAGACGACATATTTAGTGGAATGATTTGTCATACTGGGTATCAAAACTGGAAATCATACACCACCATATAACCAGCTACAGGAAATCTTCATAAATCAAACTACACTAGCCTCATTTGAAATCTTTCAGTTTGTTTAAAGTTTGATACCGATAATTGCTTCTGTCAGGGGGGGGGGCAAAGTGAATTTGTGCAACGCATGGATGGGGCATGGGTAGACTTCAAGCAAGGACAGACCTTTGACAGACACAGTATCGACACAGAAAATGCTGTTTGAACGAGAGGGGGAAAAAATCCCACTTGGACCTGTGTGTCAATGGGGATAAATGGAGGTAGAGTCGGGGGGGGGGGGGGGAGTGTCAGTCCGATGCGCATCAGAAATACCCAACAATTCAAAGATGCAGATATGAACAAGGGACATGGAGAGTTAATGAACACAGACATATTTGCTGGACTCTGCTTTCAAAACAGTTCTGCCCCCTGGCTTGACCTAAACGGGTAGCAGTTCTCTTCAAAAAAGGGGACAACATAAAAACCCAGAATGCTGTTGTCAATTACATCAGTCTTCGGTGACTATGCCACACAGGTCACTTTTAACTGGGTAATATCACGCCTAAGGCCCTAGGCTGACCTGACTCGGTTGCTGCAGAACTTGGTGAGCTGCGGCTGGTTAATGAAGATCAGCCTGGAGTCCTCTTGGTCAGCCAAAGAGGTCTTCTCAGAAGCGTCTTCTGTCTTCTCATAGCCTGGATGAAGAACACGGACAATGAGGAGAGTGATAGCAGCTGACGGCGCAACAGTAAATAATGAAACTTTGTCAGCTACATCTATAGGTTTCCAAACAATGGTGTCGCCAGGACAGAACTTCAGAATTTCCACCAACAACATCTGCTTGCGGAATCTCGGCCCTTCATTCTCGCCACCCTGCATTCAACACTACAGAGGCAGACTTGGGTTTCTGTGACTGGTGACATTTAAAATTTCAGGCACACCACCCCCATCGCCCTGCATCTACCTCCTGCCTTTTTTCCTCTCCGGTACGCAGTTCAAGTTTCCATGTGAACATTTAATGAGATATTTACAGTCAACCCAGGATGCACTACAGCGTCACCTGACAATAAGCTAGTATCATCTTCACCCCGTTTGTGACATTATGGCTGTCATGTTCGAGCTGGATACAGTTCGTAACTGGTTCCATTTCACTAATAAAAATGGCACCAGATTCAATTCCATAATGGAACCACACTCAAGACCAAGATGTTGACTAAACTTATGAATTAAAATCATGAATCATTTGCACAAGTACAGGTACACAGAAGATCTTTGGTCTTCATGTCTCCCATCCTGCTCTCCTTTGAGACATACTGTACACATACTGATGCAGGTGAAGTTTGGGGTCTGAAGGCAGTCAGCCATATTTATACGCAGCCCTCCCCCCAGAACATTTTTTTGGAGCTTAAGGACCAAATAGCAAGGTGAGTATTCTTAGTGGTGGACAGTTCAGGTACAGAAAGTAAAAATCCAGACCAAGATTTTGTTTTAACCAACCAGTTGAGCATAGTGAGTCACAATTGGTTGGTAGTAACAAGATGCTGGTCTGGATTTGTACTTTATGGACCTAAACTATCCACCTCTGACTATTCTGCTGAGGATGGGATTCGATCCGGCGATGTTCAGATCACAGGCATAGAGCCACACATCACCCTCACCCTCCACAGTAAATACATGCTCCTATTCAGGTATAAGAGAGACAAGCCACATATTCATTCCAGTCGCCCAAAGCGGACTGAATAACAGCGATAAGGATGTCTGTTTAGTGCTAGGCAGAGGGGAGGGTGTAAGCGGGGCGGTGGGGGGGAGGGTGTAAGCGGGGCATGCCAGCTCCCCGGGGATTCGCAGATCCGCAGAAAGGGGATTGCGAGGGCAGGGATTATCCCCACAGAGACAGCTCCCTGCAGGCCGAGTCCGGCGGGATCGCTGCCTAAAGAGGATCATAGGGGACCATGACGACATATCCCAGGCCCAGGTGAGGTGGGGAGGCAGGCAGAAAGTAGGCGGCCCAGCCAGCCTGACCTCCCCTAGTGCGGCGGAGAAACCACTGGGCTTTAGTCCTAAGATGACACCCTGAAAGTCCTGCAGGGGATAGCGATCCCGCCCCCCCCCCGACATGTACGATTCCAATAACACACACAGCAGTGTCAAAAGGCAAGCCATGTTAGCCAAGGATGAATGAATAAAAAACAAAAACAGACCTCAAAAGACCCATTTCGAAGACATGAAAACTTCGCAAAAGAGCTGTGACATCATTAATGTTCTGTGCTTACAGCAGACGCACACCTTTTGGGACATCACCACACTGTTCTGAACACACTGCAGAAACACAGTCAGTGTCAAGCTTCCTGCACTCATTTACATTGTATTTATTTAGCATATGTTTTTATCCAAAGCAATGTACCTTTATTTATTTATTTGTTTTTTATTTTTGGGGATCACAGGGTCAGACAGACTGGAGCAACTAGTGGTTAAGGGTCTTGCTCAAGAACTCAATGGTGAAATCACTTTGCTGACTTGGGGTTTGAACTGGCAACCTTCCAATCAGAGGTGCAGAGCCCTAAGCCTCTGGGCCACATCCCCCCCAACATCCCCAACTACTGCCCTCCTCCAATCTGCTTCCTGATTTTTACCCCCTTGTTCTATTATGCCATTCATTCTTTCTTAAATTCTTCCTTTCTGTCTTCCCCAATAAAATCCATGCCTGACCTGGCATGTGGTTTATCCGAGCGGATTACGCCATAATTTGCTCTTGTTGCGCGAGGAACTGAAATAAAGGTGGCGGCCCACACCAGGTGCGGACAGGCTGATTTTTATAGTTTTAGCGGCGTGCTTGAATGCAACTTCACTACATCTTTTTAGCATTTGAAGAAACCCATCACTCAGCATGGCTTCCGTTAAGCGGCTTAGTCAAAGATACTTCAGCTGGGCCCATAAGTTACAAGCCCGAACCGATCGCAGCTATGCTACAATAGGATTATTAGAAGTACTGACCCATGACCCAGATCTAGGCTGGTCCACTGTGTCACAAAGAACCTGAAACGCTAAAATTACACGACAACAATGGCAAGAACTACTTACGAGCTTTTTCATTTTTCCCCCATCAGAGATTCTCATCATCAGTCAGCCCTCAGAAGCGAACACAAGATGGCCGTCATTAATGATTAAAGGCCAGGCTTAGTAATAATAAATAGGCAGACAACTGCGTCCGCTGAAGCCGGGCCGCTCGCAGGTGGATTTTAAGCAAAATTAGTTCAGACTGCGGCCCAGTTCAATGAACACTTTCATCTGTTCGGCTCAGCCAACGTTACAGCTAGAAAACCAAGCAGCAGCAGGTGCAGGAGAATCCGTGCTCGTAGGTTCTGCAGGTGCCGCGGATTCACCCCCAACGGACCAGGTGACGTTAGTGACAGTCACTCCACGGAGGGTTGACACCTTGCCACTTTCTGTGATTGGACGCACCCATCGCAGATTTCTGAAACTTACAGGATGAGAAACTTAAAACATGCTAGTGACAGCAATTACCCCATTTGTCCCCCCCTACGAAAAAACAAGTCATCCTCAGCAGCATAATATCTGCATGACACATGGGATGGTTAAATACATTAGTATTATTTTATCTTTTATTATTTTACATTAGTATCAGTAGCTTTTCTTTTGTTCTTTTAAATCAGCCATTACCAACTCAGCAGAGGCCTTATTCCCCCGGAACGGAGGTTACTCTCCCACACCGTGGCCCTGTCACTGTCACTATCAGGATAAACTGGAAACATGACTCAATACAATCTTCTGGCGCCTCAACAGAAACAGAGGTCAAAGAAGGGGCCGTATCCTTAGCCGGGTCCGGATATAGGCAGTGCACCTTGAGGAATAGCAGGGGAGACAACGGGACAAGGCACTTTCCATGTCAGCTTGGACTAGGATGATAACGGATAACGCTCATTATGATGGGAGCACTTTTCCAAATGTAAATGTAAGCTGAAATGTTAAAATGCTTTATAAACACTGTAAGGATTTTCATTCACCAAGATAGTAGAACTCATTTTTAACACATCAATCTGTTTGTTTGTTCATATATTAGTATTACCAAGCCATTTAATGCTATTAACTTGTTTGCCTGTTCTTACATAATGAGGATTGCAATCAACATATTTAACAATCTTTGAAACGGACCCAAACCAGCATAAAATCACTTACGCAGGATCACATGATATAGGCCGCACTCCAGCGAATGTGCCAAATCTCACGCATCGCTCTGCTCTTTGATCAGAAATCATGTGTGTGACACTGAAAGTGTTAGAAAAGTCTGAAACACAGGAAAGATTTCTAAAAGGGAAAAATTCAGGATCAGGAAATAAACTGGACACGCTATACATCACATATGTCACATGCTTTCGTCAACGACGGTGCAGAATGACCTTATATGGGGTGGTCTTGTTGTTTTTGAGGCGCTACACAAAAGCTCACTCCGCAGCCCTCCACCTGCTAAGTGTAGTGACTGTTTGCGGCCAAAAGACGCACATGTGTGGTCTGAGTGGCGGTAAACAGCCCCGCTGAGCACATATCTTTAACAGCAAGAGGCACGGAGTAACATGATAGAAAGTGATGAGTGCATTCTGTCCGTAACAAGTAGCAAAAAATACACCTTCTATTCAAAGACTGACAGTTTGAGGTCCCTGATGCCTTTCCAACTTGGCTGGGCCACTAGGTCAGATAGGGGTAAGGTGAGGGTCACTTTGAGTTCAGGATGGTCACACACACACACACACACCTTGTGAAATGCACCAGCTGCAGGTTTTGAGCAACCAATAAAAAAAGACACATGAAACAGGCTAATTCCTGTAGCCCTGAGCAGCATCTCCTCCGAAGATAAAACTAGCCAGCTTTAATGAGCACTGTTTGATCCTTGATGTCACATTTCCATGTTCACAAGGTTCCATTTCATTCCGGTTTCCCAGTGGAACATGACCATCTGCCCTATGGAAGCCCCACAACTGGCCATCACTGTGTCGATGTCATGAAGGACACAACCCCGGCTGGGTGGCCGCTGCTCACTGCACAGCCGTAGTGTGGCTAACACAGTTTTTCAGTGGATTTGGCTTTACTGTTAGTGACAAATTAAGAGCAGACAGTCAAATTATACCCATGTCTGCAGAGTCGTTTCACAGACCTAGATAGACAACACTCCCCTTCCTTCTTTCCGCTGAGAGAGAGAGAGAGGGGGACAGACAGTCAGGCTTCGCAGGGAAAACACGCCTCCTTGCTAACATCATGATCACTGTTGCAGACACACAGCACAGCACCCTTCACATCAGAGGACTAAAAGGCTCCCTGCATGTTTTCACGTTAAAAACACAGGGAAGTGAATCTACAAGGTCCACTGCTCTGGTAAACCACAAAAATGGGGGGGGGGGGGGTGTTCCCTGCATCCTGTCTGGTCGGAACCATTTCAGACGGCTTAGAGCTGTGTCAGGGGGTTTTGAGACTGCAGATTACAGGTCGAAGCGCCACTGAGCCACATGATATTAACATGGTGGCTATACTGACCTTTATATCACAGAAACACTAACGTACTAGAAAATACTACAGAGATGGTGGGCAGAGGGAATTATTCTATTCCTGGTGCACTACCTGTATCCCAAATACCAATACACAACAGGATTTCATGCAGGCGATGTATAAATTAAATAAGAAA